TTTCACTGCCGTTTTAAACAGGCCTATTAATTTCTACGTGGTCCTTTTATTCCGTATTTTCTATTCGTTCATGTCAGAATATTATGCTATTAAGACACTATTTTCTTCGATAATAAATTCTTAAGAAGTGCAATTTTCATATTTTCAGAGTGCCAGTGAACTACAGACCTTGAGCGGTGTTTCGAAATTTATTCAGCATATTTTAAAATGCTCATAGATCGCTAATTAGCCTACAGTCCACATCTTCACTCATTCATCACAAATTATTTGTATGCAACCTTAATTGTAAAATATAAGTATGTGGAAAATTTGGAACGTTTTTGTGATAGTTATAGAACGATTTTCAAAATAGCCGACAAATATACAGCTATATAATCAACGGATTATTTGCATTTCAAGAACTTGATGCACGTTACACAAATAACTGCTGTTCTTATATCGTCGAACATAACCCCCGCGTCTGTCACATCGACACAGTAACCGAAGCGCACAAAATCTGTGCTTTTACTGATAGAAGACGAACGAGATGCTTAGTCAGTATTTAATATCGACTTACGTGTTATTTAATTTACTAAAAATATCCCCTACTTGCCACATTTCATAAAAGTCAATTTTTTTGTAGGTCTGTAACTGGACAATAATTCTGGATTAACCAGGCACTGAATTGAATCCTGTCTTCTATATTAAATTAATCGGATTCCACACAAAATATTCCCGTGTACCACTTAAGTAATATTTTCTATGGCTAGGATACTGGATTGGTAATCGAGCCAGTATGATTCTTTCCACAATCTATTTAAAACCGTCTCGCTTGAACGTATGCTATGTTTTCACCAAACTTACCACTGTACTGAAATTAGTTATAAGGAATAAGGCCCTTTAAATCGTTAGGATTTAGGGACTGTATTGAAATTAGTTATAAGGAAGAAGGCCCTTTAAATCGTTAGGATTTAGGGTTACTGAATAAATTTGGATTCCACTAAAAATTCTTTCTCGTGCCAAAACTTCCACTGCAATATTAGCATTGTCAATTACTCAAGACAATTGCCAGGGTAATAATTCAGCTGTAAGCTGATTAATGTCCTAGCATATTAATGATCTCTCAGGTAGGGTCACAAAAGCTGCTGACACTGTGGGAGTACAGTGACTTACCTGAACCGTAGGAGATCCTCGAAAGCCAAACTGGGCCATGTTGCGGGGGGGCTCTCCCTCCGCGACCGCCCGATGCGTGAATTGGCGTGGGACCTCAAAAACAAGTTGATGCACACATACATACACACGCACGCACACACAGACCGGTCTGTCAGTCTTCGCCTGGCTTCTTCATGTTGGTCACTGCACACTCACTAAAACCGATGTTTATCCTGTCTGTCCCTCCGACCCCACCATTTTCCCCATGACAGTCATTCTAGTATAACTTAGCGGTTCCTTAGTTTACTCACCAAGATTATCGGAACATATATTCTTAAAAAATATCTTGTCCACACTGCAATATTATCCTATTATCGGCTTAGTTTTAAGTATCCAGAATAAAATATTTTAAGTCAGTGTTACCACAAAATATCTGCGGGTTAATAAACTCGTTGACACTCGACAGATTCCATTTTACACCTGGACTGAGGCTGCAACTCTGAAACATGTTTGGCCGCTTCAGAAATTTATTTGGTCGAACTCCACAGCGTGTCAGCTTAATGAGATGTGGGCACTACACGCAACACGACTTTTTAGTGCTCTGTGGGCAGTAATTATTATTCTTCGGCAAAACACGTGGCTCACGTATGATTCACATGTGGCTAGGGTTAGGCCTAGCAGTACTACGGGAGTTCAGCCACCCCCTCCACACCCCCTGCTGCTCCCGGAACCAACCGGGAAACAGACCGGATTGCATTCACAACTGCACCGACACACTGCACTGTCTTGAAACACTAGGCGTGCCAATTATTTTTTATAATTGACGCGGAGAAGCGGGCACGAAGCCTCGACGGAGCTGCGGCACTTTTCTTTCGTTGTGCTGCTGAAGGCTGGCTTGTTGGTGGTGGTGATTTTTCCGTGGGTGGGTGGGTACGGTAGCACTGTGGTGGGGGGGACTCCAAACACAAGTCGTCACTCTTTGTGGCCTCATGCAACGACGTCGCTCGTCGCCGTGGCGTTGTTCCCCCCAAGCTACCAGTTGTGATATAATAACACCGGCGGTTAGCCCGAGGGGACCCACACGGGAGGGGGGTAAAAAACTCGATTTTTGTTAGAATCCCAAAGTTTTGCTTTTGAGTACGATAGCTGGAGGAGAGATGATTAAAAAATGGGGGAGGAACAGATTTTTTTTTTCCCCCTTTCGGTTCGACTGTTCTAGTCAGTTGTATGTTATATAGTTTGTTTCCACACCTCTTCACGCCCCCCTCCTCGGCCTCAATGCACACACACACACACGCACGCACACACCACACTTCACAAGCCTCCCCTTATTTCCCCTCCGCCGCGCTAACGCCCGTCTCGTAGCTTATCCACATATACTAGGCTAGACGGCGGCAGCGGACAGTATTAGAGAGCCGTTAGAGGTTCAGAGGTTCAGGCCTCACCTCCTCTTCAGTTGCCGTTGAGTCGCGCGAACGTTCTCCCGTAAACAGGCCTGATCCGTGGGCGAGAAAAATTCCGATTCCCCGGACCGTGTCGTCGGCACAACACGAGAAGTTTTTCGCAACTACTTTTTGATTCTGCTAAAGCAATTGAACTCTTTTTACGTCCAGCCGAGACTCCACGAGCGCAGTAGCAGGGAGAAGGGGGGGGGGTTTCGAAAAGGGTGGAATCTTACAGGACTCGGAAACAAAAAAAATAAAGAAAGATTTTTGTGAGACCCTTCGTTCAGTGGTGTCGCTTCGCGTTTGTAAAAGTAAACCGTTGGGAGGGGAGTGCTAGGCCCGGGGCACAGAGCGGAGTGGAGGGGAGAAACACCGGCGCGCTTGTTCGTTTCCTTCGCCGCTGAGATCACTTTTCTTTCTTTCTTTCTTTCTTTCCTGCCACCCTCCTGGGAGCATCTCAAGAAACTCTCTTTCTCTGTCTCACGTTTATGCTACTACGTTTAGTCAGGACCATATTTCCCCTCCAGCAAATCCTCAACAATTCCAGCGTTCACCCCCTCCTTGCCCCTACTTCTTTTCAGTATTCCCCCTCTTTTTTCCCCTCTTTTCCCGACCTCGGCGTCAAAGCCGAAAGGCAGTCTCGTGATAGGTTACATGATAGCATCTCGCCCCGCCTCCTCGCGCCGGGAGACCCACATCTCGTCCAATCGTGTTACTTGATACACACCATGATAGATCGGTTATAGTACAGCTGCTACTATCCCCCCCTCCTTGTCCGACATACCCCTCCCGCACCTTCAATAATACCCACAATATAAATCCTCCCTTCCACCCCTTGCGCGCTCAAATGGCGGCCTTCGTCGTCACACTAACTTTCGCGACATCTCTCCCTTGCCGACAGTTCGTTTACAATTC